CAAAACAAATAAAGTTTGACTCGCGTTGTGCTGTAGTACCGAATTCCGTCACCGCGAGCGCAAGCGGCAGTGCATTTGAAAATGGCTACTTTCACAGGTGCGGAGCGCGCTCGCTGTGTGCTGTGGTTTGAAGAAACGAAATCTGCAACAATGGTTCAACGAAATTTTCGCACCCAGTATGGCAAGAATCCTCCCAGTAGACCTACAATTTACTCTTGGCACAAGAATTTTGTTGAGACTGGTTGTTCTGTTCGCCATGACAAATTTTCAGGTCGCCCGCGTGTTTCTAGTGCTGTTGTGGATCACGTTCGTGACAGCCCAAAGGTGAATGTGTTTTGTGCCCTTAGCAAAGTTAAAGTGTACGGCCCGTTCTTTTTCCATGAGAGAACCATCAACGGTATCGTGTATTTGGATATGCTCGAAAATTTTCTCATACCACAGTTAGACGAAGATGACCAAAAAGGACGCATTCACTTCCAGCAAGACGGCGCACCACCTCACTACCTCACAGAAGTCCGGGATTTCCTCAATAACCGTTTCCCAGGTCGGTGGATTGGTCGAACAGGGTCAATAGCATGGCCCCCTCGTTCTCCAGATTTGACACACCTCGATTTTTTCTTATGGGGTTTCATTAAAGATCGTGTGTATGTTCCACCCTTCCCTGCCAATCTCACTGAGCTCAAAGCTCGAATCACCGCCGCAGTTGCAGAAGTGACATCGGATATGCTGGATCGTGTTTGGAAAGAAATTGATTTCAGGTGGGATGTCTGCAGTATCACCAATGGCAATCACATCGAACAAAAATGACTGTTTGAGTTAAGACTTGATTTGTTTTGCTACAAAATGACACCTCAACCGATTCTGTTAGCCTTCTGAATAAATTTCTATACACTTTCAAAGTTGTAAAGTCCTTTTTGAATCACCCTGTATATTTGTCTAATAACCTTTTTTCAGAAACGAAAACGTGAAAGAATGTTTTTATATCGGCTAACTTCCCATGTGACTTGAAGGGCCGCCTGGAGGTTACATGCGCACTGCAGGTTGTCAGCCCTGCTGTAGACGTTCTGTAGGATTCTTTGAACGGGGGTTATCTGAAAGTACGATTTGAGGTTCTCACGGCGCTGTCTTCTGGGTTGTGGCGCCGTGCAGTCTGGTAGAAGTTTACCAACGTTTCAGAGTTCCTTGCTGCCGGCATCATCAGGGTGATGAGTGAACTCATCACTTGGGGTGCTGTCGGAATCATCATAGGTTATAAACTCAGTACCGTGTCCTTGGTCGCTTGTGTTGCGCAAGTGAAACGTGGTTATTATAGTTTTATTTATGTCTTCTCCAGAAATTATTTTCCTAGTTTCGGCTACTTGGTCCTGATGTACAACCTATTTGATGGCATGTGGCTATGATTTAAGGCCACCGTTTGTGCAATTGCCGGCTGGCGAAATATGTTCTTGAATGCTAACGTTTAAGTTCCACTGTGCGCGTAGAGGTTAGTTAACAATTATTGGCTACGTGACGTCAGTGTATTCCTGTGAAGACCTACGTACGATGTTTTGAGCTGTTGTCGGAAAGTGTGAGACACGCTATGTTTCATGCCGTGGTTTCTAGGAAGAATTTTCGTGCACAAATTTAATTCCACGACATTTCACAAGTTTGAAACGCGGGGTGAACGCACTGCATTCGGCATGGGAACGTTATCTCTAGGGGTCAAGATGCATCATGAGTTATTTTCGGTACTTCATTGTCGGTTTCCGTGCAAGTTACGCAGGTGGGGCCTACGCTCTAGGCGGTTCTGTCATGTTTCAGTATATGGAGTACCACTTTTCTTTTCTTTTCTTTTCGTTTAACAAAGTGTTAGCCGGGCTGGCACGGTTAATATGAAATCTCCGCCTCATGTTTCACTCTCCCACCAATCTCTAGTTGTATCCGCACATGGAATGCCTTTGTACACAGTTACGTGGATCACGATTTTCACCTCAGATTGAATTTGAAAGTTCTTCAAGAGCATTAGGCCTTCTTCATTAGTTGGACTAATTCAGCTGATTCATGATTTTCGAATGTTGACGTATTCGCAGAAGCGCACCAACAGATCCTGTGCCGAGCCATTTCCTTCCAATTTGCCCGCACGTCTGCTTAGGCCTTTCCTGTAATTTAACTTTTGATGTCCTGTTCTCATCTGTGCTTACGTTCTTGTCTTGGTCTTTTTAAAATAGAAATTGTGTATGCCCTGTGCATTTCTCGTGCTGTCCTAATTGTTTGTGTTGTTGAAGTTGCATTACTGCAGTGTTCTTGGTCGATTTGAAATGAATCTGATCGAGCTGCCTGTCATGACTGAAGTCATTCGTAACTTCTGCGGTCTGGCGAGACGACCCCGTGGTTGGAATGCAGTCAGCGCCGACTTTATAGTTTCTTGGCTTGATTTCGGAAGTCATTGACCAGAACAGTCATCATGTCTGGTGTGGGTCGCTTGCGGCGCTCCTGTCGGCAGTAAAGTGAATTTATCGTGGGGAAGGTCATGTCACTCGTGTTATCCCCACAGAACTGGTTTCATTGGTTATTATGATTATTAGGAAGAGAGAAAAAGGAATTGCAGGCAGTTCGTGGTCTTTTTGGTGCAATTCTTCCTCCGTAGGCTAAGCGAGTTTTCGTACCTTTCGGACATTCATGAACATTACACCAGAATTGGATCTTTGTACCTTTAACTCTTTGTTATAAGTTCAGGTACTAATAATATGGTTAACGGAATTCGGCAGAAGAATAGAATTAACAACATGACGACCGCGCAAAATATTTTTGTGTATTGGTAACTGATGACTCAGTAATTTGGCATGAGAAAGTTGTATGTTGTCGCCATCTGCTGTACGGCCTTAAAGTTTCCGTGTAGGAAAGTATTTTAAAATTGCTCAGTCAGTTTAAATTAGTGCGTAAAATTTGTGCGAAGACTTGTCATGATTGCATCTTCTACGCGTGTTGGTACGAGTGATATTTAAAACATTTTTCGGGACCCCAAGCTCACCGCACCAGTGACACGCTTTTCATTTATTCTTCTGTCTGTATCCAGATGGTGGTGGAATCCCCGTTCCCGTTGTGAACCGGAAGGAGTTTCACGCTTCTCTTCCTTCTGCAGTTTTTGCGTCCGGCTACGCTCTGTGCCTCGTGGATATCTCACGGCACCAGTACTTCCGCGTGACGAGAAGTTCCTCGTAACCCATTCATAAACACGCGTTACGATGTTACTCACTTCATGACTCATTCATTCATTCATACCAGAGTCTTCCACAGTCATCCATGCTTTACTCTGGTGCCAGTCGTAGATTGACTACGCATCGGTGAAGTTGTCTCGTGCAGCCAG